GAAAGAGAGAGATCGTAGTTTTTTTATACTGACATGTGTTATAAAAAAATTACCACTTAAAATTTGAAATTTCAAGCATTTTTTTTGTGTTATATAAAGGAACAAATTTAACTACATAAAATAAAATAAAGCAAGTCAATTAAAGAGAACGAACATAAAAATAGAGCAAGTCAATGACACTATCACAGTACTACAATATTATATATGAGAAATGAACAATAGTGCAATATTATTAGCAGAGAAAAAATGGAGAAGACAGGAGCATAGAAAAAAAGGATGAAAAACTCACTTAAAAATTCTTGAAACACTTGAAAAGTCACTTCAAACAATCCTTCAAAATTCGATGAGTTTGGATGAGATTGTTTTATGAATTTAGTATTTATAGATAACACTAGAAAGTCCTTCAAAAACCCTCTCATACAACAAACCTGTAAAATCCTTATATTTTTTAATACCAATGAATTATTTTTAAGTTGTAAAAAATCTCAAATGAATACTAATGAATTTTAATAGACTCTTTAAAAAATCTTGAAAATCCAGATTGGATACCACTAGATTATTTTTAAGTGACATAAAATCCTGATTAAATACTAATAAACATTTTTAGTCAAAAAAAGTCTTTTAAAATCCTACGAAATCCTAAACCAATATACCTTAGACTTTTCATTAAATAAGTCTAATTAGATTAAGTTATAGACCCTTATTTAAAATTCGGTCTATTCTTATCCTTAATTACAAAATGTTCAAAGTATTATTTTTATTATTTTTAAATATCATGGGTGGCCTTTTTAGCCCAATTTATGTATTCAAAAAATCTGATTGGGTCTGGTGGCCCAAATTATCGGGCCCATTAAGTGTGTGTTTGCAAAAAAATAGTCGTTGTCCCGTCCTATAAAAGGAAGCTGCTTCCCCTTGATTTTGTAAAACCCTAGTTTACGTTTGCCGTTCCTCTTTGGTTCACCTTCCTGTTTTGTTCTTTCAATCAATAGGGTTTTCGTTTATTCATTTTGATTTTGTTAATCTCCTTTCTGCTTAAGAGGTCAAATGATGAATCTTTCGAAATGTTGAGACCTCAAACTTTGATTTGAGTGCAATGAATCACTTTTCATTGAATAGGAAGATCTGATGCCGCTCATTCACATTCTCGTTATTTAATTATTTATATTCTTTTATCCTATAGCGTCGCGAGGTTCTTCGTTTTATCCATATTTGCAATGTTATTATTTAATTAACTGGTACTGTAGCCAATGATGAAGATATCGAATGTGGCTGAAATGCAAAAAATTGCATTTTATTGAGGAAAATTTTGAACTAGGACGGTCTGAGGCTACTGAAAATGATTTATGTTACGTTTCTTTTTACCCCCTTCTTTTGCTATTGGATTTTGTGTGTTGTGTGGTGTGTATTTTTCTGAGTGTGTTAGTGTTGATCTGTATGAAAAGAAACAGTGGCGTGGATGATGAGAAATAAAAATTTTACAGTTATCCCTGTCTGATATATCAGGTGCTGAAATTTTGTGATCTGACACTCACTGTTTTGTTTCACATTAGCTATTTGGATGTAGCATCTGTTACATTATTTTGTCTGTGTTTGTGGTTTTGTTGGTGAATTCTGGGTTTTCCTTGATAATGAGTAATGTTCAACGAATTGTCTATTTTTCTAATCACGAATGTGGTCATTTTATTTTATTTTTACATTTTTAAGGTAAATAACTTTAAGTTTTACCCTTTATATCGTTAACAATATTCTGCAGGATTGCAAATCGGTCGGAAATGATTAGACTAATCGAACTTAGTTGTAAGTTTATAAAGTTTGTGGTGGAGATGACCAAATGTAGTTAATTAATGAATGATCTCGTGCTGAATTAGGAGTAAAACTAGTTATTATCATCATTTTCGCAAAACTTCTAATGATAAGCGACATCTTCTCCACTTCGGGGTGGGTATATTGACTCAGATCCGTGGACTGGGACCTGAATTTTTTAAATTCGTATGATTATGTTTAATTTTTAAGTCTGGTCCGTGAAGTCTACAGATTTGGCGAATTTTATCTGCGGGCTCGCGGGTTAGTTCGTGAGCTTCATTAATTAATATTTTTAAATATTACAATTTTAATATTAGGTTATATACTTAATTTTTTAAATTATTATAATATTAAAATTATATTTAGTTGGTATGTATTTGTCATTTGAATTATTTTTATGATATTTTGATATTTTTATTATTGAAAGTTTAGTATTATTATTTAAGTATTTGTAATTATTTTTATCTTAATATTTTAATATTTAGTATTTTAAAGGCTAAAAATTCATTTTGGTCTTTTATAATATTTGTTTGTTTCAATTTAGTCTTATTTTTATTTTGTTTCAATTTGATTCCTAATAAATTAATTGGTTGTAATGTTGGAATTTTGTATCTGGAATGACTTTTTTCAGATGCATTACTTAACACCATGATTGCAATCAAAATTCGGTTTCAGAACGAGTTGTTTTGGTTCCAGATGCATGACAAAATTTGATATCCACGTGGTATTTACGTAACTTTTACCTGGCATCTACGTAGTTTTCACGTGGCATCTACGTAATTTTTACGTGACCAATATTTAACTTCGTCTAAATAATTTGGATAGAAGTTCGACATTGTAACCAATTAATTTATTAAGGATCAAATTGAGACAAAAATAAAAGTGAGACTAAATTGAAACAAACAAATATTATAAGAGACCAAAATAAATTTTTAGTTTATTTTAAATTATTTTAACTATTGATAAATTTTAGTATGATAAAATTTAGCTTATAACTAAAAAATATTTTTTTTTCTAATTTTATGTATTCTTATTTTTTTAATCATTATTTAAGCTCGCGGACTGGTCTGTTATTTGTAGATTTTGGTAGGTCAAATACAGATTTAAAAAATAAGTCCATTTATTTTATGGACCGGACTTATCCAGCCTGTATAAAATGTAGGTTTTATGGACCGGGCCTTAAACGGGCTGGATCCGGATACCCACCCCTATCTGCACTCTTGTGTACGTTCTGCATTTTGATCAAGCTGTTTGGGCCGCTTGATAATACTTTAAAAGTATTTTAGGCTTTTTAAATATTGTTTTTATGCTATTTTGATCATCCAATATTTGGAGTGAATTAGATTAATTAACGCTAAAAATATAATTGCTTTTTAGCTAATATGGCAACATGAGGAACATGATAAAAGTATAGGAAATACATTGATATGAGTCATGATGTATGATGTAGTTGAAGCAATGAAGAGGTAAGAGTTGGTTTATTATGGGTGCATTTCATATGGGATCTCACGGTAGAGGTTGCTTTGACTGATGTAAGGCACTAGTTACCTTCCAGTGTATGTTGCTTTTCTGCCACTGTTGAACTGGATTTAGGACCAGGTTTACCCTAGCGTGTAGGACCTAATTTCCACCTTTCTTCGTAATCTAGTTATTATACTTCGACTTTCTTTTGTTGGGGGCTTAGACCACAAGTGGAGTTTTTAGTTATGTGTTGGATGTTCTCTTGGGAGCTGCTTTGTAGGATATGATGGGAATTTTATTATCATATGTGACATTTTTATCTAGAAAAATTTGAGCCTTTGATTAAAAGACTAAAATGTAATTTTGGTGTTTCTATAATGTTCAATTTATCTCTGAATTCTAATGTTTTTATTTTATAAAAATTGTATTTTGGCCTTTTTGTTAAATATTAATTTATTGATTATTAAAATTGTAATCATAATCTTAACATAAAATAAATGACATAATAAATGTTATTTAATAATATTGGAGTTATATTTTACTTTTGATTCAAGTTTTTTTTTATTTTATAAAAGTGGTAAAGTAACATTGTTAATTTTATTGGTAAAAATGATAAAAAATATAAATTAAAAGTATAATTTAGTTTAAATATTAATTATTATGTGATTTATATAAGGTTATGTTGAATGTTTTAATTTTAACAATTAATACATAAATATTTTAAAAGAATACCAAAATTGTAAATTTTATAAAATATAAAATTAAAAATTAAAATTGTGGATTGAAATTATGAATTGAATATTATAGATTAAAAATATAAAAAAAAACTTAATTAAAATTAAGAAGTGTTTTATATAATAAAAAAAGTTTAAGTATATTTTTGGTCTATAGTTTCATAAATTTTGTTCTTTCGGTCTTTATATTACTTTTATTTCTTTTTAGTAAAATATTTTATTTAGTTCTTATGCATGTTTTTTTTTAATGTTTTTCTTGTCTATTTTTACAAGTTCTAAAATGAAAAGTTAATATATCTTTAAAAAGAAAAAGTATAGATATACGGGATGTTTGTTTTAAGGAATGCAACTATGTTCTCACATTCCTAACAATATCTACTTCTGAAAATGTTAAAAATGTATTCATCAAGATTTTAATATTCTTGTGAATATTTTTAAATTTTAAATTAGTTAAAATAAATAAAAAATAAGAGTTGAATAAATAGATTAAAATATAATTTTCCATATTTTTACAGAACACAACTTTTTCATCTCTCAGCATGATTTTTCATCTCTCAGCATGAAAATCAAAATGAAAGTAAATATTTTTCCAAGAATAAATCATCTAGAAGTTTTTTCTTCAAAAACTCCAAGCAAACATGGAAATGACATTTCTAACTCCATATTTCTATAATGAAATTTTAATCTGCAAGACAAACATACTCTAAAGTTTAAAAAGAAAAGTTTATTTGACTACAAAAAGTTTATGAAATTAGGGGGGAAAAGTGATTAAATCTATTGAAAAAAAAGGACATGTGTTTGTAGAGAGCATAATTTTGAAAGCTGTTGGGATTGAATACTTTCACATGTTGGGATTGAATACTTTCACATTACATTGGATATATCATCGAATGCTTCTAATATGAAGTAGTTGAGTTTATGCGTCTTCCATGAGGTACTAAAGTTATCGGTAATAACAAGTTTTTCAACTTGTTTATATTTGTAAAATAGTCTTTATATTATATGTGAAGGTGTGGAGGCACGGTGGCAGCAGAGGTGTTGTCTCCTTCCACAGTGGTGGCAGTAGAGGCTGTGTGGCGGTTGGAGAGCTCTAGAACCTTCAAGATCAAACTTATTCTTTTCTTCATCATTTTGTAGAGTTCTACACGTCTATGTGTAGCTAATCTCACCCTTCTTGGGGTTTGATGTAACTAAATCATTCTCATGTGTAAACTCTAAGTGATCAATCTCAGTTATTATTCAGTTTTATTGCTTTGTTTCCTGTGCATAATACTTGTTATGAATTGATCACCCTTAACTTGAACTTGAGGTTTTTAAGAGATTGAGAAATGATTTTAAACCTTTGAATGGAAATAGAATAACTAATGGTGCTTATTGCTAGAGATAGAGTAAATGCCATTAGTCTTTCTTAAGCTTTGGTTTTTAGTTGGTTTGTTGGTTAAACTATGCAAGAGACTGATAGTTTAATCTAGCAACTCAGATGCCAACTTGTAAGAAATTAGAGTTGGTTATTTTTTAGAGTGATTTTTGAATGATGACTATTGTGAGCTTAGTGATAAACATGAGAGGAAGGTTTAGTGAAGTCAAACTCGAATATTTATTAATATTGCTTTAGAATCAAGTTTTGCACCCTAAGTGTTTACAAAAGTACCAAAAAGAATTCTTATTGTTTGCTTACATTTTTTACTGCAACAAATCAAACTCTTATTGCTTTTCGGTAGCTTAATTAGTATAATAAGTGAATTTGTAAAATGTTGCAGAAGTTCCTTGGGAGACAATACTCATACTTTCATTGAACTACTTATACGATTTGGTACACTTGACAAGGGAGATAACAAATATATCTAATAAATTTATTTTAATAAAGGATAATTTTTGTAAAAATATCTATATACACAGGAAGGAATATACCATTGTGACCAAATATAAAAACCTTTAATTCTCAAGAATCATGTTGGAATTCTTATGAACTCTTATGAGTAACAAAACATATTTTAGTTATTCTAAAGAATCGTGATTTTCAGGATTTTTAATTTCTAGGAATCATGATTCTTGGATATGAAAAAACTTTTCCACTACCAAACACTCCCTTAAAGTCAAATAACATGACTATATTTAATCATACTAGTTATTATTTGAGGAATCTTTTTTTAATTATCAATAAATATGGAAATTTTTGGAATCTCAAAATTGCTTCAAAATGAAAAATTAATTTAAATACAATTACATCCACTTGTATTAAGTAGTATGACACTTACTACCCTCAATACAATAATCAAGACATTTACACATAAACAACTACAATAATCTTCATAATCAACAACATTCATAAGGTTTACAACACATTAATTTAGAAGAATGTCTAACATTAAACATAACATGAACAAAACAACGTCTAACATTAAACATAACCTTAATTAATAAGAAATCCTATATTATGTCTATAGATGTCACATCCTATCAAAACCATACTTAAAACCCCACAAGGCTCATATCTTGTCGTTCACATCACCAACATGATAATTATTATCTATAACACACCCAACATGAAACCAGAAAGAGGTAACAAACGTTTAACTATAATATAATTAATATATACTTAAATAAAACATGAAAATAATTACCAATTCATACTAAACAGAAATATATTTACGTAGTTCACAATCCACTATATTCATATTAGCACACTTGAACTTCATATTTCCAATTGATTAATGAACATTTCTCTAATGTCAATTATAACAATAACAAATAACTTAAAACCTCCGTAGCTTTCTACTCATAAAGTAGTGACATATTCTCGTGGCCTGAAATAGTTTCATAGCCCAAAGACTTATTCTTGTAGTCTGAAGGCTTTATCTCATACTTGTTGTATGATTATTATGCATGTTTTTTTTTAAAGGAGTTTCAAATTATGTAAGTTGTAATACCATCTAATATTTGTATTTTTTATACCATGAATGCATTTTGTACTTTAATTAGTATGATTTAATAAAATTTCTGTTATACTTTTTTTTTTATAAAAGAAAGACTAATTAGTATAAATATGTAGTCATTAAACATCTTATATAAATGATTAAAGTTAATATTTGTTTTTTGATTAATTTAAATTATGTGACTATACAGTTTTTTTCTCCTCCAACTCAAATACAGATGCTTACACATTTAAGAACTAAAATCATAATTTACTAATTATAGACCAATTAGTATAAAAAAGATTTAAATATATTTTATGTCTTATTTAATTAGTGAGTTTTAAATTTATTTCTTTTAAAATAAAATATTTTATTCTTATGATTAAATGACATTTGCCAATTATTCATGTGTTCAACAGATGAAAAGTAATTATCTCAAATGAAATCTTTGGAATTTGTTATAGATTTTACAATAAGTATTATTTATTTACTTTAAAATATAAGAAATAATTATTGCAATTTTTAGAGAGATGAAGATTAAGAAAATGTATTTCAACAATTAAAATTAAAATTCACTAATTTTATAAGGATTGAAGTTAGTTATTTAAAAATTTAAAAGGATAAAAAAGTTCTAAAATCAAAATCCATCTATTTTATATGAAAAAAATGTATTTATGCTATTAAATAAATTTTAAAAAAACTATAATTTATTAAATATTTTCTTTTAGACTATATATCTCAAATTATTTACATTTTTAAAAATAAAAATAAAAATTAATTAGCCTAAATATATGATCATGGAATATATAAGTCTAGTTTTACTTTTATAATATTAATACTACTGTGAGTAATTTCACATTCATCTAAGAAGGGAAAAAAATACATGATCAAACCTTTCTTAATTTTTTTTCTTTTTACAATTATAAATATTTGCCTAGTTTAAAATTAAATATGTGCTACTTTGGTTATATATTATAATGATCAAATTTAATTATTATTTTTTTTCAGCTCAACATGTTAATAGATTGAGTTGGGGCCGGTTGACCCGGAATCCGCAACAAGGTTCTGAGTTCTGACGACACGAAAGAAACACAAACGGTCCACGCTGGCAATCCCCTCCTGGACGCAGCGACCAATTAGAAAGAAGCACACGGATTAGCATCATTTATCCAATCCAAATTACCTTTGAAGTCTTCAAAGTCCACGGTCTCGGATCCCCAATTAAACCGACCTAACCCTCGTATTACACGCTTATATAAAAACAAAACCCTGTTCCCTTCTTTTCATTATTCTTCCTTCTCACTTTCCAAAATTCAATCTTCCAAATTTCTAATCTTTCAATTTTCCTCTCTCTTCATCCATGGCTCGTACCAAGCAAACCGCTCGCAAGTCCACCGGTGGAAAGGCCCCAAGGAAGCAACTCGCCACCAAGGTATTAGGGTTTTCAATTTTTCAATTAGCACTTTTTCTCAATTCCCAATTATTCAATTGACAATTTTTTCTTCAACCCTAATTGAATAAATGTGATATGTGTAGGCTGCGAGAAAATCTGCGCCAACAACCGGTGGAGTCAAGAAGCCCCATCGTTATCGCCCCGGAACCGTTGCTCTTCGGTAATTAGCTATTTTCTTCAATGGTTCTTGTTCTTGTTTTTCAACACTTTTTGCTAAAAATTGAATTTTTAATATCGTGATTTCAGTGAGATCCGAAAGTACCAAAAGAGCACGGAGCTTCTGATCCGCAAGCTCCCCTTCCAACGTCTCGTTCGTGAAATTGCACAAGACTTCAAGGTATGTTCAAATCTGTGAAGAACCCTAATTTTTCATTTTTCTTTTGTTGTTTGGTTTTGTGACTAAGCTTTGTTTGTTTGAATTGTTTTTGCAGACTGATTTGAGGTTCCAGAGTCACGCGGTTCTTGCTCTTCAGGAGGCTGCAGAGGCTTATTTGGTGGGTTTGTTTGAGGACACCAACTTGTGCGCCATCCACGCCAAGAGGGTCACCATCATGCCCAAGGACATTCAACTTGCACGCCGCATCCGTGGAGAACGTGCTTAGGCTTATAGCATAGTTGTTACCTTTCCGTTTCGCAATACTTTTATTGTTTTTAGGTTTTTAGTTAAATTTCAGTTTGCTATGCGATGTATAGATAGATATATGGAGACAGCATTTTACCTATTGTAGTTCCTAGACACCAACATTTGGATAATCGGATTCTGCTCATTTTATAAGTTTTGTGTGGATTTAGCTTTGTTATTTTCAAGTGTTTGCGTTTTGGTTATTTGGTTATCATATATACTGGGGATGTAAGTTTTCATTGAATCTGGAACGATTGGAGTTTTGTTTGTATTCGCTTGAACAATTTAGCCAGCCATTTGTAATCTGGGTGGGGGCATCGATTAGCTGAATTGAAAATAATCTAAAACCAATTCTGTTTCTGAGTTCCTGATTCATAGGAACAATTATAGGATTGAGTTAAAGGAGTGAGTTCGCGTGAAAAGGGTTCAATGTATCTGAATCTGTCACGGGCGTTGTTTGTTCTTGAATTTCTTCTATCATGAATAACATTTTATAGTCAATTGTTCACAAATTGCGTTAGGCACTTTAGGTGGAATGCGAATTATTAAAGTCTGTATCGTTACTTGGGACGTTTGTTCTGCGGTTGTTGACCTAATCACAAGTGAAAAAGGATATCCCATCATTCCCATGGGCTTTTTACTTAAGGGAAAATTTGAGTTGGGCCAAATATACATTTCGAATTTGGTTCATGATATACACAACTCTTTTTTATTTTTTATTTTTATAAGTACACTTTCTTTATTTTCTTTTAAAATTTATAAAATATTGTAATTCTTTTTTAAATTTTCTAATTTTACACTTTCAACTTTTAATTTACTTTTTTTTTCATATACTTTATATAAAAATTTTAAAAATGAGAAAAGATGTATAAAAAAAAGTATTAAATTAAATATTGTAAATATAAAATTAAAAATTAAAAATTAAAAATTAAAAAATTAAAAAAATTTAAGATACTTATATTTTATTAAATAATTACATATTAAATTTCTTTAAACTTATGAAAATGAAATACTTGAACAAATAAATTTAATTTTTAAAATAAAGAATCTTGATTAATAAAGTAGAGTATAATATTTAAATCTTTTAAGTTTTGACTTTTAAATTAAAAAATTATTATAATAAATAAAAAATACTAATAAATATTTTTTAAAGATTATTTTTTTTAAAAAAATAATTATCCACAAATATTTATAAATATTTGTAAATATTAAAAAAATATATAAATACCCACTTAATAGATATCTGCACTAATATAAAAATATATAAGAGATGAATATTTATCTGATGGAAAGAGATTACTGACAATACCTACCATGTTCGATTGAAATCCTAATCAGAATTGTATAATTTCATTCATTTTGTGGTTCCTTTGCTCTAAAGCTAACCATTTTTGTTCACATGACATAAACAAGTGACATGTGGCTGACTAGTGATTGTTCAATGCAAACAATATGGGAGGTTAATAATGATAATGGAACACAGCATAAGAGAGAAAATTATCAAAATATTTAAAAAATAAGATTATATTTCCTACCCTTACCTCCAACAAGTTAACAACTAACCATTAATATATTGAATATGTACTTGTAACGAGATACCTCTCTCTACTTTGAATTGATGCCTTCTCTACTCTTCACTCTTTAATAAGATTGCCTATCCACGTCAAGGAGGGTTCACCTGCAAAAGGCATTCTGACGCTTAAGTAAATTATTTTATCAATGTAATAAATGCGAATTCATGAACAATAACTTCACCTTGAGATCCAAACTATATATATCGACCATAATGAGCTCAGATCTTGATGGATTGTAAGTTAGGGTTATGGATTAGGTAATACACCGATAATTGGTTCCGAACCTATGATTAAGTCCTAATCACTCAAGCACCATGATTTATATTATAATTTTGTTCCTTAGTTGGCTCTATCGGCCACATGTAGGGGACAACTTGTTTATGCTTATCCTCGGCCACCGAGGGTGTCAAGACAGACTGTATAAATCCTTCGGCTCGAAGGATTCATAGTTGAAACCTTGGTTTCATTCATTCTCATCAGCCATCGAGGATGCTGAAATCTTCTTTGTTAGTATGTGATGCTTCGATAACAATGGATACCGAGGGCCTCCCCCAGTTGCCAGTGATGTCGAGCTTATCCTTCCTATTATCATGGTGAGTGTCGAAAGGGTCTCAATTTTGTCGGTTTACAATGACAAGAGGTGTTGTCCAGTATAGAATATAAAATATGCAATATGCAAAATTTCAAATATATTTTTTACCACCAAATACAAATACATATCTTAGTCTCTAAAATTTATATTTATATCATAGTTCTAAATAAACTTTTTAATATATTTATATTTCAGTAAAAGTATATTAATTTATATTTAAGAAAGTTGAGCCGGGCGTAGGAAAGTCACGCCGAACATGTGTGAAGCTGCGCCGGGCGGAATTCTCTGCTTTAGACGAGGCATTAATTTCGCCGGGCGCGCTCAGGGCGCGCTGGGCGTGATCCCTACGATGTTTTACATGTTTTATGTCTTATTTGATGGTGCAAATTGTCTGGGAATTGCCTTATTACTGTGTTAACGTAAGTGATGTGTTTTATGAGCATGATAATGACAATAATCTCCAAATGATGATCTTATGGGTATGATTATGAGAAATGTGAAATGTGAACAAGTGACATGAGAGATGATGTGAATTACGTGCTATTGTGAATACTATGCCTATGAGAATGTGAAACGTGATGAGATAAGATAAGTCATGAAATTTCTTGACAAGTAAGATTTTGAGTCCATGAGTTTGTGAATGTGTGACATGCATCATATACATTTATGTGACGGGGTACGATATGAAGTATATCGTTAGGGAAGGCCCTCCAACAGTGAAACATCTTGGAGGGGTCCTAGGGGATAATGCAGTTTGGAAGGCCTAGTTCTGCCCGTTTGTGTGCATGGGACGTATCCTGCGCGGTTTCGCTATCCCGACAAGACCCTAACAGTACATCCTTCTAGTTGAGAGTGCAAGGTTGAGCCGGCATGTACTCCTAAACTACTCCAGGTATGTTGCTTCGGCAGCATACCACGTGATATGTGATACTAATTGTGTATAACATTATTGCATGATAGATGAATATGCATGTGATACTAATTGTGTATGTATATTGTTTATATGTGATTTGTGATTGTGCCTTGTATTATGTTTGTTGTGTGTGTTGTCTAACCTTTATTTCTACACTTGAACCTGAGTGAGGTGTTTCTCACTCTCTTGTTGCTCTTTGTATGCTTTCAAATGGTGTTACAGGTGATCATCAACATGAGGATGTTGGTGATGAGGCTTAGGCTTTAGTTGGGCGTGCTTTGATAGGATATGTGACATCGGGACATAGTTAATGTGAGACCCTTTTTCTCTTTTCCTTTTTCTCTCCCTGACACTCCCCTCTCACCCATTCTCTTCCCACTCTTTCTTTCTTACTCACTTGGCTGATTCTTCTTTTCCCTGGACTGAAGGTGGTGATTCAAGTTAGGTAGAGCTAGCTGATCTGTGTGGAGATTTCTTCCCTCAAGTTTCTTCTTCATCTTCTATTCTAGTTCTTTTCCCGAAGCTTGGAATCTTCTACCGAGGTAAGGGAAGTTAGTAATTTTCTTTCTTTTGTCGCTGTTTTTGGCTGTGGATGAAAATAGAAACTCATTAGATGTTTATTGATGGTTGATTCGTGGCTGTGTTGAATGAGAACTTGTTTTTGGGGGTTTCGGGGATTTTGAGAAAATTTGGGGAAATCCTTGATTTGTTGTTGCATGTTGAAAAAGGTAGTATTTTTGGGTTCTTGGATGGAAATGTGATAATTTGAACCGATTGCATGTGCTTGGGAAGTTGATTTTGCAGGTTTTGATGAGATTTTCGAAAGTTTGAGGGTTGCTGCTGGGTAGCACGCCGGGGGTAGTTCTTCGCGCCGGGCGCGTGACCATCAAAGACTTCATTTAGGCAAGTATGCCGGGCGCAAATGGTGAATGCGCCGGGCGGGCTTGAGGATGTGAGTCTCTGGATGGCCCTCGCTGGGCGTGGTGGAACCGCGCCGGGCGCGATATCAGTGGATGACTCAAGTTTTGAGGTTCTGGTGTGGCGCCGGGCTTGGCTTTGTCTCACCGGGCGTGGAGACTCCATGGGAGTCTCTGCCAGAGGTGGCGCTGGGCGCAATTTATATTGCGCCGAGCGTGAGACTTGGAGAAAGTCTCTGCATACCCGGCGCTGGGCGCGGGTTCGTACGCTGGGCGTGTGAGATCTTGTGAGGTCTCTGCCTTCCCTCACGCCGGGCGCAATAGGTATTACGCCGGGCGTGTTGGTCCCCAGTGCTCTTTGGTTGTGCTGCGCTGGGCGCAACCACGAGTGCGCCGGGTGCGGAGGTGGAATTTTACTATATGCTAAGTTGAGTTGAAATGAATATGATGGGGTGACTAGTAGATAATGAAGTTGATGATGTTGAGTTGTGTTGTATGTTGACAAGTTAAGTTGTGTTGTATGATGATGAGTTGAGTTGTGTTGTATGTTGCTGAGTAGTGTTGTGTTGTAAGTTGATATGTTGAGCTGTATTAGTTGTATATTGTTGTAAGTTGATATGCTGAGCTGAACAGTTGTGTTGCACTGTGTGTTGCTTTTGGATGTTGTAGGCTGAAAGGCTTAGGTGTTGTAGGCCGAAAGGCTGAGGTGTTGTAGGAGATCTCCGAGGTGATATGCGTGACGACGCATTTTGTGTGTATTGATAAACTGCGTGGTAATAACTGACAGGATGTTTATTGATGAATTGTTGATGGTTGTAATTGCTGTTATTACTTAAAAATTTCCCTATATCTTGTTTTTTTTATACTAGCTTACCCTTGTTGTTTCCATGTGTTTGAACTGCGATGATCATACTTGTATGGGAGCAGAGCAGGGTTAGATTTGTGATAGGAGCAAACTTATAGCTGGCAGAGGACGGAGAGTCTTAACTGGCTGGTGTTTGGACGTTAAGCCACTATCTGGCTATTTTGGATTGTATTTTATATTGTACGCCCTAACTCTAGTCAGGTTGGAACATTTGTATATATTTATATTCTAGATCCTATATTTATATACTCGTTCTATTCTGTCTAGTGTTTCCGGTGTGCTGCGGTTATAAGTGTGGTGACCTGCCGGGTCGTTACAGTTAAGCTTAGTTTAGGATTTTATTATTGTTATTTTGTTTTGTATAAACTCGTGTTTCATTTTCTTGTAAATTTCGCATTTGACCAAGATTT